ATTTAAACTCTCTTACCGCGCGCAGCTTTAACGGCTGCCTTCAGATGACACTCCCAGACGACCCGTTACTGTCTGAAGGAGTCCGCTCGCAGCCCGACGCAAACAGCAGCCTGCATGATGTCATTCATTCAGGACACATAGGACCAGACAGCAAGCTAGCAGCGCCGCTGACCAGCCACATCCGGGAAAACGTTTCAAAATAAGATCAAATGCGTCACTTCCGTCCAGGGTGCGGGCGAAACTGTTCGTTTTGTTCATTTATTCATATTCAAGGTTTTTATTCTTTCTTTCTTTTTTTTTCATTTTAAACGTACTTATTAGGATTTTTCCTCTTTTTTACTTTTACTGCTGTCATATTATATGCTCAGGTAAAACCTGAAAGCTGGGATGGGGATGCATCACCACCAACGATGAGACTGACATGCAGGACTGTGAAAACTAGTGCAGTAATCGATGCATGAACAACTGAGGAACTTTTTCCAGCAAGTTGTAAGACTGTTGAACTCTGGCACTGCTCTGGAGCCTCTGAAATGTTCACTCTCTGCCTGAACATTTTCTTGTTTACAATAATAATAATAATAATAATAATAATAATAATAATAAAAGATTTTCTTATGTATACTAAATAAGACTGTAAATGTGTTTTCTGTTCTGTTGCTTTTGTGCCTTCACTCTTTTTGGTTTTCAGGTCTCGCTGGACTTGGGTGCAAATGTTCGTTTCATGTGAATACATGTGTAAGAATGACCAAAAAAAGCCTTGAATCTGTCTTATTTAAAATGTTACTTATTGTTACTTTTTGTTATGTTTTATTTTTACCATTTTGAGCAATCTTTTATTTTTACAAAAATATCTTTTTATTATTTTATAACATTTGAAGCTATTTTATTAGCTTAGTTTTGGCTACTGTAACACAATAACTTAACTTCTGGGGATAGATATCATTTTTATTTCTTTTTAGATACTTTATTTATCTCAAAAGTGGAAAATTCCTTTGTAACAGCAGTTACTTTCAACACAACATTAAACAAATAGCTTAAAGGTACAGTGTGTAGAATTTTTTCACCACTAGATGTCAGTAGATTGCAGGTTGCAATCAGCTGAATTCTTTTTTCTAACTTCTCCCAATTTAAGTGTATTATTCCAGCTATGGTGGCTGTTATAGGACAAACAGGTTTTTGTCAGCTATAGATAAAAAACATTACCATCAGATTTTATCTCTTAACAGCCACAGCTGGCTGGTATATTTCTACCACAGTTTGTTTAAGAAATACTTTTCATACAAATTACATTTGAACATATTTGAATAATATCATCACTTAGCAAAAGATCAGGAAATACAAAAATGAACAGTTTGTTGGATAATTTAATTACACACTGTTCCATGGACATTTATGGGTACAGTATGCTTTTTTAAAAAAAAAAGATAAAATAGCCAGAAAAAGTACTGACTGTACCTTAAATTAAGATTGAAAAACTAAACTTTTGAGATTTAAGATTAAAGTCATCCAACTTCCTCAAAACATTCAGATGTCCCCCGAGAGTAAACTTTAAAATTGTTTCATCATAAAAAACCCGACAGAGTCAAGACAAAAGAGATCTATTGTTTATTGCAATGATATCTTCCAGCGATGTGCTGTTTGTAGTGATGTACATGCAACTCAAAATGTGACTGTTTTACAGTGTTGTTTGATTGCCACAGAATCAGCCACAGGAGTGTTTCCTGAACGGCACCATCAGGGGCGATTTTAGCCCATTTTTGGGGGTGCTTCAGCAAAGCACCCCCAAAGATTTCTTACTTTTTTTGACAATATTTGCTGTTTGTGTGACACACTACTAAAAATATAAAAAGCATACAGTACTGTACTTGTTTGAGACGTAACATTTTAACAACAAAAGTATAGAT